GGGGTTCGGGGGTGGGGGTGGGAACGCCCGGCTGAGCGGCCGTGCGCGCTGGAGGTGTGTCCCGGCTCCGGGCCGTGCGCGCCCACGGGCGGCCCGCCTCCGGGTTAATCGCACCTGTCGGTTCCACGCCTAAGAGCATCCCGGGGAGACCTGAATGACCGACTGAATGAACCGGGGGCTCTGCCAAGGAGTGTGCACACAGTGAACGGACTTGGCGGCGGGGTCCAACCTCAGAGGGTGACAGCGATGGGGTGGCGGGGGTGGGGCGTGTCCAACCTCAGAGGGTGACAGCGATGGGGTGGCGGGGGTGGGGCGTGTCCAACCTCAGAGGGTGACAGCGATGGGGTGGCGGGGGTGGGGCGTGTCCAACCTCAGAGGGTGACAGCGATGGGGTGGCGGGGGTGGGGCGTGTCCAACCTCAGAGGGTGACAGCGATGGGGTGGCGGGGGTGGGGCGTGTCCAACCTCAGAGGGTGACAGCGATGGGGTGGCGGGGGTGGGGCGTGTCCAACCTCAGAGGGTGACAGCGATGGGGTGGCGGGGGTGGGGCGTGTCCAACCTCAGAGGGTGACAGCGATGGGGTGGCGGGGGTGGGGCGTGTCCAACCTCAGAGGGTGACAGCGATGGGGTGGCGGGGGTGGGGCGTGTCCAACCTCAGAGGGTGACAGCGATGGGGTGGCGGGGGTGGGGCGTGTCCAACCTCAGAGGGTGACAGCGATGGGGTGGCGGGGGTGGGGCGTGTCCAACCTCAGAGGGTGACAGCGATGGGGTGGCGGGGGTGGGGCGTGTCCAACCTCAGAGGGTGACAGCGATGGGGTGGCGGGGGTGGGGCGTGTCCAACCTCAGAGGGTGACAGCGATGGGGTGGCGGGGGTGGGGCGTGTCCAACCTCAGAGGGTGACAGCGATGGGGTGGCGGGGGTGGGGCGTGTCCAACCTCAGAGGGTGACAGCGATGGGGTGGCGGGGGTGGGGCGTGTCCAACCTCAGAGGGTGACAGCGATGGGGTGGCGGGGGTGGGGCGTGTCCAACCTCAGAGGGTGACAGCGATGGGGTGGCGGGGGTGGGGCGTGTCCAACCTCAGAGGGTGACAGCGATGGGGTGGCGGGGGTGGGGCGTGTCCAACCTCAGAGGGTGACAGCGATGGGGTGGCGGGGGTGGGGCGTGTCCAACCTCAGAGGGTGACAGCGATGGGGTGGCGGGGGTGGGGCGTGTCCAACCTCAGAGGGTGACAGCGATGGGGTGGCGGGGGTGGGGCGTGTCCAACCTCAGAGGGTGACAGCGATGGGGTGGCGGGGGTGGGGCGTGTCCAACCTCAGAGGGTGACAGCGATGGGGTGGCGGGGGTGGGGCGTGTCCAACCTCAGAGGGTGACAGCGATGGGGTGNGACCCGCGACCCGCGCGGGGTGGGGGCCCTTCCCCACGCGGCGCAGGGGGCTCCGAGGGCTGCTCCGCCCCGCCCCGGCCCCTCCCCGCGGCCCGAGGGGATCTTAGGGGCCGAGAGCACACTCCCGCGGGCGGGCCACCTGGATCCCCGACCTAGCGGCTCCTTGAGTAATGAGGTCATTTGAATGGTTTATTTCACACACACACACCCCCCCATTTACACACACGCACAAAGCTGAGGCCACCGAGGGCTAGCGACTTCCCCAGTGTCACGTTAGAGACGCAGCCAGGGCTGTGCCTCGACCTCCTTTGACATCTCTGCCCCCCCCCCGCTGGCTCTTTACCCTGGCCCCCCTCTCCGAGCTGCTGGCTCCGGTGCTCGGAGCACACGCTGTCCAGGAGTTCCTAAGGGGGTGCACTCCCCAGAGCCCACGTCCCGACCCATTTCCCCGCAGTGGTGGCCGTGGGCGCTGTGCCCGTGGTGCTGGGCGCCATGGGCTTCACCAGCGCAGGAATCGCTGCCTCCTCCGTAGCGGCCAAGATGATGTCAGCCGCCGCCGTCGCCAACGGGGGCGGAATCTCCGCCGGTAGCCTGGTGGCTGCTCTGCAGTCCGTGGGTAAGTGTCCTGGGCAGCAGGAGGGGAAGGAGGACCAGGGACTTCCCATGAATTCACCCTGTCTCCTCTCTGCCGCCTCCAGCATCCCCTACCCAAAGCCGAGCCCTGCAGGTTTCAGGTCCTAGAGGAGGGGTCCAGGTGGGATCTCTGGGTCACTGGCCACTGCATGTTCCCCCTGCTCACCCTCTCTTCTCCCCCAGGGGCAGCTGGACTCTCCACATCATCCAACGTCCTCCTGGCCTCCGCTGGGTCAGTTTTGGGGGCCTTGCTGGGAGGTTCAAAACAGGCACCCCCTCCCTCTCCCCAGGCCTCACCCAGGGCTGAAAGTGACCAGCCAGGAGAAAATGTGTCCAAAGTCAAACCTCTGAAACCCCCACTCAGGTCAGAGAAGCCTCAGAAATAAAGATCATGTGCAGATGCACCTCCCTGTCTTCGTTCCTTGCAGCTCTGGCTGGGATGTTGTGCCTTAGAGGTTTCTGGTTCTCCCCGTTCTCCAGACCTGCCTTGTCCTGGAGGGGCAGAGAGGGTGGCAGGCTGATCAAGCACAGAGTCAGATGGCAGGAGGCTTTGGTTGGTCTTAGTCTTACAATGGATGGGCTGTCTAACCCAGGGCCTCAATGTACCCTTCATTCAGCGGCGGGGTGATAAAGGTTGCTGTGGGGAGGCCAGGGTGGGGGGTAGCCGGGATGCATATTGAGCCACTGACCGCAGGGCCCTTTGCCCTTCCTCCTCGATGGGCACTAGACATCCAGAGGTGAGAGACACCAGCCTTCCCTGACCTCACAATTCCTGCAGGGAGGCTGGCAAGCAACCCCCCAGGACAATATAGGATGCCAGAAGTTACATGGACTCTGGCACTTCAGGGGAGGAGACTGAATCAAATGTCACTATCCTGCCCTGCGGGGCGTGGCTCAGCAGTTCCTTGACCTAGGATCCAGGAGATCGTGGTTCCATTCCAGGTCAGGGCACATGCCCAGTTATGGGCTCGATCCCCAGTTGGAGGCATGCAGGAGGCAGCTGATCAATGACTCTCATCATTGATGTTTCTGTCTCTCTCTCTCCCCCTCTCCCTTCCTCTCTCTGAAATCAATAAAGATATATATATAGATATATATATATGTATTATTATTTTTTTAAGTCGCTATCTTATGTCTGGAAAATCATACAGGAACTGACATTCATCAGCTCCTACCCTGGCAACAAGGGCTTTGGGGTGTCCCTGAGTCTCCATTCACCTCCAGGATGAGATCTTATTTCCTGCCAGAGAGGTGTCATTCTCTGGAGTTTTTTGTTTGTTTGTTTGTTTGTTTTTAAGGATGAGATGTAAAATAAAAACAGGAGCTCTAAGACTTCTGCTTACACCCCAGTAGATGGTCTTGAGGAGGCCTCCAGGGGGCACAGGCTGCCTTTTGTAGGCCACTCCATGTCCACATCCACTGCTTAAGAGTGTGGAAAGCTGGAGAGAGGGTCACTGCCACCCTCCACAAGAAAAAGGCAGACAACCCACACAATCATAACTTTTCTTGAAACCCTACGTGAGTTGAAGTGGCAGGGCCCCTAGTTGGCTTCAGTTGCCCACAGTGCAAACTCATTCATTAATGGGCCCTTTCCTGGCTGCCTGTCCCTCCCTGTTTCACCCTCAAGTCCTCCATTTGTGCTCCCTGGAGTCACCCCTCAATAAACCACTTGCATTCAAATCCCTGCTTCGGGGTCTCAGCGTAAGATGGCTTCCAGGCCCACTCAGGAGCCCACAGGGCTGAGCTCAAGACAGCCACAGCACTGTATCAGATTGTCCCTGACATCTGGCTGGGTTCAGGCTCCATCCATCTCCTTCCCTCAGGGGGAGGCTGACAGGAGGCTCTACAGTCTGTCTCACAGTGCCTACCTGGTCAGGACCCCCAGACAGGCCCAGGTCTGTCGGAATCCCGGCAGAGAACACAGCTCAGCGTGGGGCCTGGCCCCCAAGCCAGGCTCCCCTGGACAATGCCAGAAGCCAAAGGCCATGGGGTAAGTCACTCAAACCAGCAGGCCATCCCTAAGTCTTTGCAATTTATCATGGAAAGCACTGCACAATTTCAGTTTGAAAAATGTTCCTTCTCCGTTACCTTTCCCTCTGTTACCAAAGCTACTCAAGAGAGTCTCGCTGGGGCTGGCCCGGGGATGGACCACCGACAGATGAACCACTCTCCCCTCCCTGCCCCCGACTCTCTTCATTAATTTGAAATTGTTTGATTCATGATGAAAACAGCCTTATTTCCCTGAACACAGGCAGGTTGCTTAAGAAAGCAGCTGGCAGGGAGCTGTTGGGTATGGAGCCAGTTTAAGGCTCCAGATCTGAAAAGAACCTACGGAGCAGACCATTCAGCTTATGGGAAAGATGGCCATTTTCAGTACAGTAGGAGTTGGGGACTTTGGGTCATTTCTTACAGGTTCTTTTAACAACATCTATCAAACGGGCAGCATCCCCTTTCTTGTAATGGTGTGTGGGTTTTCTGAGATGAGTCATGGGCAGTCTTGACTACAGTAAATATCTTTTTAATGTTGTTTTGATTCTCTTGTTTTGGAGCTTTGGAGTTGCTCTGTCAGTATTTAGGATGCCCTAGAAGTTGCTGTGGGACCCAGGAGGACAGGGGGCGGGGCTCCTAGGAAACAGAATCCCTTTCCTCCCTCCCCCAGTCCAGGTGTTATGAAAGTCATGACACCTCCATCCATACCCCTTCTAGGCCCACTACACTCCTCTCACCTTAGGACCCCCTGCTGTACCCCCTGTTTTCCACAATCACAGACCAGTGCTGTGGCTCCCACCTTGGTTCCCTCTCAGAGGGGGAGTGCCCAGGGCTGGGGGTGCAGGAGAGAGAGGGCCAGAGTCATGAGGGGCTGAGCACTTCCCAGACCTGAGGGTCAAGTCTTTGTAGATGTCCTACGACAGGCCCTGCCATCAGAATGGCTCTTGTCAACTGCAGGCCTATACTGTGATTCCCTGAGCCTTTCAACAGGCACTCCCCCCACCC